TGAGGCAGAAGGATCGCCGGAGCTCAGCAGGTCGAGGCTGCGGTGGCCGGGAGCGGCCACCGCACTCCAGTCTGGGTGACTGAGTGACACTCCAACTCAAAAAAAAAAAAAAAGTTCTGTGGTAAACATGTGAGTGCAGGTGTCTTTTTTGGAACAAAAATCTGTGCTGCTTTGGGTATATACCCAGAAATAGGACTGGTGGGTTGAATGGTAGCTCTGTTTTTAGTTCTTTGAGAAATTTCCAAACTGCTTTCCACAGGGATTGAACTAGCTTACAGTCCTAACAACAGTGTGTGAATGTTCCCTTTTTCTTCACAGCCTCACCAATATTAGTTTGTTTTTATTTTTATTTTTTTTGAGAAAGCTGGATTTATTGAAAGGACAGACAGAAAAGCTCCCAGAGTGCAAGGGGACCTGAGGGGGTTGCCCAGCTTTGGGTTTTTTTTACTTTTCAGCAATAGTCATTCTGAGGTATGGGGTGGTATCTCATTGTAGTTTTGGTTTGCATTTCTCTGATGATCAGTGATACGGAACATTCTTTTCATGATTATTGGCCGCTTGTTTGTCTTCTTTTGAGAAATGTCCTTTGCCCACTTTTTAGTGGGGTTGTTTTTTTTCCTGTTGATTTGTTTGAGTTCCTTGTAGATTCTGGATATTAGGCCTTTGTCAAATGCATAGTTTGCAGATATTTTCTCCCAGTCCTTGGGTTTTCTCTTTACTCTTTTGAAGTTTTTTTGTTTTGTTTTGTCTTGGTTTTGGTTTTGGGGGGTTTTTTTTTGTTGTGCAGAAGCTTTTTAACTTTATGAAAAATTTTTTTTTCTTAAATTAGCTAGGCATGGTGGTGCACCCCTCTAGTCCTGGCTACTTGGAAGGCTGAGGCAGGAGAATCACTTGAGCTCAGGAGTTCGGGGTTGCAATGAGCTATGATTGTGCTACTGGACTCCAGCCTGGGTAACAGAGGTAGACCCTGTTTATCAAAAATGAGTAAATAAATGAATAAAACATAGTCTACTTGTATTGCAAACTTTCTGACAGGGGAGTAATACTCAGAATATATAAAGAACTCAAACAACTTAATACCAAAACAAGTAATCCAGTTAAAAATGGGCAAAATATATGAATAGACATTTCTCAAAAGACACACAAATGGTTAACAGCTATATAAAAATTGCTTAACACCAGCAATCATCAAAGAAAAACATAGGTCAAAATAACAATGAGGTATCATCTTACCTGATGAAATGGCTTTTATCAAAAAGGCAATAATGGATGCTGGTGAGAATGTGGAAAAAGGGGAACCCGCATATACTGTTGTTAGGAATGTAAATTAGTACAGTTACTATGGAAAACTGGATGGAGGTTTCTCAAAAAACTAAAAATAAAACTACCATATGATTCAGAAGTTCCACTGCTGGGTATATATGTAAAATAAAGGAAATCAATATATTGAAGAGAAATCTGCACTCCCATGTTTATTGCAGCACTATTCACAGTAGCCAAGATATGGAATCAACCTATGTGCCTATCAGTGGATGAATGGATAAAGAAAACGTGGTATATATACACAGTGGAATACTACACATAAAAAGAATGAAATCCTGTTATTTGCAACAACATGGAAGAACCTGGAGGACATTGTGCTCAGTGATGTAAAGCCAGGCACAGAATGACAAACACCATGTGATCTCACTCATGTGGAGTCCAGAAAGGTTGATCTCATAGAAGTAGACTGGTGACTACCAGAAGTCAGGAAGGGTGGGAGCTGGGATGAGGAGAGGTTGATTAACAGCATACATATATATATATAGTTTGATAGAAAAAATAAGACCTAGTGTTTGTTAGACTGTTTAGTAGGGTGACTATAGTTTATAGTAATCTATTATATATTTTTAAATAGCTAGAACAGAGTAATTGGAATGTTTCTAGCATAAAGCACAAATATTTATGATGGATATCCTAATTATACAGACTTGATCTTTAGAAATTATATGAATATATTAAATTATCTCATGTGCCCCCAAGTATGTACGTCTATTATGTATTGATAGAAAAAATAGTCTATTTATGGTTAATATTGTACCTTGTCACATAAAATGTAGAAACCTTGTAATCATATTGGTGTCTCCAACCTCCAACCCCCACTTGTCCTTTTGTTACATAAATTTCAGCTGCACACACACACATCCCCTACCTCAATCTGGCAGTGTTGGAATATTGGCTCTAATAGTGGTAAATATTTTAAGTAACTGAAGAGGTTAGCATATGGCCTTCATATTTATCTTCATGTTTGCTAGTCCTGAGGCTCTTCCTGCATTCCTGAAGATCCAAGCTTCCCTTGGTATTATTTCCTCTTCAACTTGAAGAACTCTCTTTAGAATATTTTTATAGGGTGGGTCTTCTGGCAAGACGTTTTCTGTTATCAAATATGCCTTTATTTGGCCTTTTCCCCTGAAAGATATTTTTACCATATATAGTATTCAGGGCTTATATTTTTTCTTTAAGCGTTCTAGTTATTTATTTTTTTATTTACTCAGAGTCTTACTCTGTTGCCCAGGCTGGAGTACATGATCACGGCTCACTGCATCCTCAACCTCCTGGATTCAGGCAATCCTTCCACCTCAGGCTCCCAAGTAGCTGGGACTACAGGTGAATGCTACCACACCCAGCTAATTTTTTTAGCTGTTTCCCAGCATGTTTCCCAGGCTGGTCTTGAACTCCAGGGCCCAAGTGATCCTCCCAACTTGGCTTCCCAAAGTGCTGGGATTATAGGTGTCAGCTACTGGACCCAGCCTCTTTCAGCATTTTAAAGATGTTTCACTTTCTCTTGGCCTCTGTGTTTTCTGATGTGAAATCTGAAGTTGTTTAAATCATGTAATGTGTTGTTTTTTTCTTTAGCTACTTCCAAGATTTTTTATTTATCTTTGATTTTTAATAGTTTGTTTTTTTAAAAAATTTATTCTGTTTGGTGTTCATTAAATTTAAATCTGTAAGTATTTGACCAAATTTAAGTTTTCAGCCATTATTTTTATTTTTATTTTTTTGAGTTGGAGTCTCTGTCACCCAGACTGGAGTGCAGTGGCCGCCCCCGACCGCCGCAGCCTCGACCTGCTGGGCTCCGGTGATCCTTCCGCCTCAGCCTTCCAAGTAGCTGGAACTACAGGCGCACAGTACCACACCCGGCTCATTTTGATTTATTGTAGAGATGAGGTCTCACCAAGTTGCCCAGGCGGGTCTCGAACCCGCGGGCTCAGGCAGTCTACTCACCTCAGCCTCCCAAAGCGTGGGATTATAGGCTGAGCCACTGAGCCCGGCCAGCCATTATATTTTTTTATTCCCCAGTTCTTTTCTCCTTTCATTTTGGGACTTTAGTTATACTTACTTATTGGACCTTTTGTTATTGTCACACAGGCTCCTGAAGCTCCAACCTGTATTTTATTTTATTTTTTTGAGTCTGGGTCTCACCTTGTTACCCAGGCTAGAGTGCAGTGGCACAATTATGACTCACTGCAGCCTTGACCTCCTGGGCTAAGGTGATCTTTCTGCATTAGCCTCCTGAATAGCTGGGACTATGACTATGGGCTTTTGCTACCATGCCCAGCTTTTTTTTTTTTTTTTTTGTAGAGATGAGGTCTCGCCATGTTATCTAGGCTAGTCTTAAACTCCTCCACTTTGGGAGGGATTACACCCAGCCCAGTTCTGATCATTTAAAAAAATATTTTCTATTATTCACATTGATTAACATTTTCAAATTCTCTGACTTTCTTTTAACATATTCATTTTGTTTTTGAGTCTATATATTAATTTTTTATTTCCAGTATTTGATTTTCCATTTCTAAAGTTTTCATGTAGTTCTTTTATACAGCTTCTATTTTTCTTGTGAGAACTCCTGTCTTTCTATTATTTTATAACTTTTTTTTAATCTCTAGAAGAATGATTATAATAATAGCTGCTTTAAATTTTTTCAGATAGTTCTCGTATGTGGATCATCTTGGGGTGCTGTTTGTTGGTTGTCTTTTCCATTAAGAATTGATTACATTTTCATGATTCTTTGTATGTTTAGTAATTTTGGGTTGCATCTTGGACATTTTGAATGTTGGATTGCATTGAATCTTGGCTCTGTTATAATCCTTTAGCGAATGCTGATGGTTTTGATTTAGCAGGCAGTTTGTTCCTTCAGGTTCAGGCCTCAAGTGTTTGAATTCCTCTCATCCCACTCTTCTTGTGAATTTATTGCTGAGTTTATTTCTTTATCTGCTGTACTGGTTTGGATCTATCCTGTGCATGCTTGCTTCAGGGGTTAGTCTAAGAATTTGTGGGTATGCAGGAAATTTGGGTGCCTCCTTCTCTGCCAGCCTCTGCCCTCTTCCTCCTTGCTCCTTTCTGTGATTGCTCTGGCTAGAAGATGGCGAGGCACTCGTTGGAGTTTTGGTACCTTTGTCACACTGCTCTGCAGCTAGGCCTGCCTTCAGTGCACAGCTGTGACAGGAGGAGAAATGCCCCAAACCAGGACATGCACCCTATGGGTGTCACTGCTTTAGAGTTTGACTCCTTTCCATAATCTGTATGCATTTGTTTGCTTTCAGAGTTCTCAGTAGTTGTTTCTGGCACTTTGTTCAGAGTTTATAGCAGTAGTCATTGGAAGACCTGAGTTCTTAGGGGCTTATGCTACCACAGTGGAACTGGAAGTCTGTCGAGTTCCTTAAATGTCAGTGAAGTGAATGAAGTCAGAACAAGTTGTAGATCTTTCTTTGTCTTATTTGAAATTTAAGGGATAGGGAACTCAAAAGAACCTTAAATGCAAGTATATGTTTTCTGACTTTTACTGTGATGTATTTGAAACTATAGTAAATCTAGTTTTGATGAACTAACTTCATCAACTCTTCTGTTTGTATTTTTAAAGCACTTGAAGACACTTCGTCACCCTTGCTTGCTGAGGTTTTTATCTTGTACTGTGGAAGCAGATGGCATTCATCTTGTCACTGAGCGAGTGCAGCCTCTGGAAGTGGCTTTGGAAGTGTTGTCTTCTGCAGAAGTCTGTGCTGGGATCTATGACATCTTGTTGGCTCTTGTCTTCCTTCATGACAGAGTAAGTAACCTGTACAGTCTGCCTCATGGGCTTTGATGTAGACCGGGGAGATGATGTGTGTGGTAGGACTTGTAAATTATGGTGTGTATAGAAATTGTCAGTATTATTATTAGAAAACTTTCTGAGGAAAAAATAACACATTGGAAGGCACAAGAGGTTCTATAGACAAGTGGCTTGTGGAGTGGATACCTAGTCCTCTGCCCCTGGGCAGTTATTTACAGAACTTTAGTTTATTGTAGCCTAACTGAAGTTTTAGATAAGTCTTTACCAGCTGCAACTGGTATTAGTTATTAAGACAAAAATGAAGGTCTACAGCAGTGCTGCTATAGACCAAAGTTCCTATTTGTTTACAAGAGTTTTGTCCCATTTGGGATTTTGAGGAAAGAAATGACCATTTCTTAGGAAGAGGCAGAGTACATACACATCCTTTCCCATTTGAGCGGCTGGGATCAGTCAAGAGGCGCTGTGGTATACCACTCTGTGGTGTCACTAGTATGCTTGGCTCTCTGTGTTTACTTTTGGTCTGTTTCTTGGGAGTATTATTGAGCCATTTCTTAATAGCATTTGCATTCTGAAGTATTAAGGTTTTTGGGAGCCCAAGATTTAAAAAAAAAAACAGTCACAGATTAGAAACACTTGCCTTTAACTCATCTTTATGTACATTTAAAGATTTTTTATTTTAATGAGAGACATTAATATCATGTTGGTTTATAGTCTCTTAAAAGTATGTTCACATAGTAACAAGAATTACTAGTTTTTTGCTGGGAAGAAATACTTCTTTGTTGGAGAGAGTGCATATAGTTGGTAAAACACTTATCCAGCATGCTAGTGCATACAGGGACAAGTAAGGCCCTCTCCCATCCTGAGTCTAGTGCCCTGATTCCTCTTTCCAGAGGCAAATGTGGTGATGAGTGTATCATTCCAGAGATGTTTTCTGTACATATAAAGCAAATATCTATATTCTTATTCTCTTGTATTTTTTCTCAAATGGAAGCATACCATGCACATTATTCTAAGCCTTCCTTTAAAATATATAAATTTTGGAGTATTTTATATAAAAATATGTACATATTTGATCTAGTGGGTAGAATACTCAACATGCTCTTTTGTCTCCTGGATTGGTTTCTGGTTTTTGGAGGGGAGGACTTTAAATATTTGAACCCCGTTCTTATTTTCTCCTTTCTTCTTACTTATTTGACTGTACTATTTTTTATAGTTTTAAAATTGGCTCTTTTGTGGTCTGTGGGATATTTCTAGTGGTCCTTACCATTCCATTTTCCTCTTCTTCAGGCAGAATTTTTTTAATGCCTACTGACAAGATTTCAGGTGACGTGGATCTGGGTTCGTGATAGAATGTAGGTGAGAAAGAATTTAGAGGAGAAAATTAATAAAAATACCCTATGGGAGCAAAGATAAATTTTACCTTAAAAGGCATTGGAAGGAAATTTCTGTTAAGGACATGTGTATATCCCGACTCCCATAGAAATGGGGAGGTGGCTGTGTCTGTGCGGTGACATTAATATCTTTATTAACCTACAGGCAGTGGGAGATGACAGAAGCCTTTCCATTCCAGTTTTCTTTTTTTCTAACCTCATCCAATTGGTTGTTCCTTAAAGTCATACATGTATTATGCCGCAAGTGGGTGATTAGTATTTTTGGTGATTAATATTTAATTTTGAAAAATTTTGATGTCAAAAATTGGAATGTTGGTCTTCTTCCTGTTCTTTTTTCCAGGGACACCTTACACACAACAATGTTTGCTTGTCATCTGTGTTTGTGAGTGAAGATGGGCACTGGAAACTAGGAGGAATGGAAACTGTCTGTAAAGTTCCTCAGGCCACACCAGAGGTAAGCCAAGTGGTAGGCTCTCTTCCCTACTCAGGATTGAATTGCACCTTGGTGTGTGCTTTTTAGGCACTTTACTTCTATGTTAATGTGGTCTTAGACTTAGAGACTTAACTAAAATGTCCGTGCCCTTGTTCAGTGAATTGCAGCATTTGATTTCTCAGACACACTAGGGGGCATGTATCCTTCCTCATTTTATAGATAAGGAACCAGAGACTGAGAGAGGTAAAATGCTTTGTCCACAAATTTGAATGAAATGCTCCTCTCTGCTCCTACAGTACCCCATAGTTACTTTGATCATGCCACTTAATACTGAAATTGTCTTTATGTATCTGTCTTCTATGCCAGTGGTTGAACTTCTTGAAGGTGGATTGTCTCTTATCTTTATAGCTCCACTAGAATAGTGCCCAGCACGTATTTATTATTCAATGTCCACTGGGGGGGAAAAAGAATGTCCACTGAACAGTTGTTCAAGTTGCCCAAATTCATGCATCGCATCCTAATAGCTGGAATTAGGATCTGTGCATTTTAATTTTGTCTGACAGATCTACATGTTTCCCTCTAGGTTGACGAACCTTTTTGTTCTCTGTTTTGTTTCTTCTTCTCATCATTTTCATGTTGCTGCTGGACTTACTCTTTGTAAAAAAAGAAAAACCATTTCCATCATCATATCCCTGTGAAGTGGTGGCTCCCTGTTTGACGTTCTGGCTCAGTCTGACTTCCCCAGTCACTTTCGTGCTGCTTTCGCACTTAACTCGGGCCATGTCTAATGTGCAGCCTCCTGAGTTCTTGCTCAGCTCAAATGCTACTTGTACCACAAAGACATCTCTGATGATTGCTGCCCCTGTTGGTCATGAATTTACCTTATGTCTGATGAGTGTCACAGCATGTCATCCTTTCTGTGGCATGTAAGGCCCTTCACATCCCTTTCCCCAACCAACCTTCACCTTCATTTATCACTGCGTCGTCGAGCTATACTCTGGTCACATTCTGCTCCACACAGCTCAGCCATGCTCCCAGATGTGCCACCCTTCACCCTCTTCTTCCATTGGTAGGCCTTTCTGTTGCTGGAATGCCCTTCGTCCCCTCAGCTCCCTGGAAGATGTAAACTTCTCTAGGATCTAGCCTAAGTCCCTTTCAGTTCCCCTACCCAACAAGGTTGGTCACTTGTGTACTTCCCAGGCACTCAGCACAGCTATTGAAATTCTGAGTTTGCAGTCTAGATTTTAAGCAACGGTTTTGGGGCAGAGAATTAATTAATTGTATTCATTTGTATTTCTAGTGTCCTAAATGGTGTTTGGGACATATATTCTCTTCAAAAATAATCTTTGAATTAGCAAACAAATGTACTTATTCCATGAATGTTTGTCTCTATAACACATAAGCTTCTTAGCTGCTATATTTCATGTGGCAGCAAGATATAAGATTCACTTGATTTAGTGAGATTAATGACAGATTTATTCTGTGCTAGAAAAACCTTTTTATTATTAGTATCTATTCAAGGTACAGTGGCTCACAGCACTTTGGAGGCAGAGGCAGTAGGCTTGCTTACCACTAGGAATTTGAGACCAGCCTAGGCAACGTACAAGGCTTCATCTCTACAAAAAAATGTAAAAAGTGAGCCAAGCATGGTGGTACATGCCTGTAATCTCAGCTACATGGGAGACTGAGGTGGAAGGATCGCACGAACCCAGGAGGTCAAGGCTGCGGTGAGCCATGATTGCGCCACTGCCTACACAACAGAGTGAGACCCTGATTTTAAAGAAAAACGAAAAAAGAAATCTATACAGGAAGGGAAAGAAGTGTTCTTATTTCCATATGAGGAACTCAGATGCACAGATGTTTCTGAACAGCAGAGGATGCGCGTTAAAACAGCCTAAGGGGGAGAGGAAAGGGAACTAACATTTATTTTCTGCTAAGCTTTGTGCTGTGCCAGGTACTGTATTTACAACTTTTTTAATTAGGAAGATCTTAAATTTGTGTAGTTAATGTGTGGTATTGAGTTGAAGGTTTAATTGCTGCTGTTTCCATTCTGTATTGCTTTTGTAACTTGATGTAAGAGATTAGCTCACCAAACATGTATGAATTATTTTCCTGAATTTATTTCTCTGTCTAGTTTCTGAGGAGTATTCAGTCAGTAAGAGACCCAGCATCTATCCCTCCTGAAGAGATGGTAAGGTGATACACTTCAGATATAATAAAGGCTCCTTTGTGTAACTGAGTGTGAAACTTAAAAAATGTCCCTCTGCCCATTTCTTTCTTTACTGACTTGCAGATGCCTCATGATTCCTCTGAACTTGAAGGCTTCTGAGATGAAGCTGATTACTGTAGCCAGGGAGCCAGCTTACATTTTTTTGTCATATAAACACCTGTGATACTGTTTGGATAGAGAGACCTCAAGGTGAACAGGGTATCATACCCATTTTACCTTCACCTTTGAACTGTGGTTGGGAAAGTGGCAGTTTGGGCTCCCGTGCTTTGCCCCACCCATTCATCTGCCTGGCAGGCCCTGACTTAGGTTCCAGGATGTACAGGCGAGGGGTTATTAGTATTACGGTGCTGGTAGAGAAAGATTTTATTTACTGGTAAATTCAAACACTGATGGTCCCTTTAAATTTGTTCTTATAACCACTGTAAATAAACGGTAATCCCCAGAGACATATTTAATGTGCTATACAGGAAATACAGACCCAACTATAAACTTAAGTATAGATGCAAGACTTGAAATAAATCAGATTTATCCAAATCAATCTTATGTGTTATACTAGTGCTTCTCAGACTGGTGATTTGTGGGGTTTAAGTCAATTTAGGTGGTCCTAACCAGCATTTTAAAAAGTGGAATGAAAGAAAATATATCTTAGTAAGGCTAAGTGTGAAACTTTTGTTTTTGTTATTTATGAATTTATATGTGCGTGTGTATACTGGGTCATGAAAAAAGATAATTTGTTTTACTCTGGGTTGCAGAAAGAAATATTTTTAAAAGGCACGGACATGTATTATACTCTGACCTTTTTAAAATTTTTGTCCCATTTGATATTTTAAAATCTTTGATAAATTCCATTCACTAGTAGTTTTAAGAGCCTGTAAATTAGTGTGGGGTACTATGAAGTTAGATTTGGTATAATAAATGCAAACATGGGAAAAAGTGCTTCAGGGAAAATTAGAAATGGCTTGTCAAGGAGATTCTCTCATTTTAATGGTCTTTACTGCTTTTAGTCTCCAGAATTCACAACTCTTCCAGAGTCTCATGGACATGCCCGGGATGCCTTTTCATTTGGAACATTGGTGGAAAGTTTGCTCACAATCTTAAGTGACCAGGGTGAGTTGGAGTTATACTACTGTATCCACAGAATAAACAGGAAAACCGACCACAGCCTGTTCAGTGTGAAATTGAAAAGACTGGAACCTGTTGCTCACCAAGTCACTTTTTTAGTATGGATATTAAGGAAAGAAGCTTTGGGCTTTGTCAGGTGGCATAGTGAAAATAATTTAAGTAGGAACCACCTTGAGCTATGACTGTCTGTATCAGGTGTGAGTTTTTTTTTTGAGTTGGAGTCTCACTCTGTCACCCAGACTGGAGTGTAGTGGCCGCTCCCAGCCACCACAGCCTCGACCTGCTGGGCTCCGGTGATCCTTCCGCCTCAGCCTTCCAAGTAGCCGGAATTAAAGGCATGCGCTACCACGCCCGGCTGATTTTTTAATTTATTGTAGAGATGAGGTCTCTCTGCCCGGGCGGGTCTCGAACCCGCGGGCTCAGGCAGTCCACTCACCTCAGCCTCCCAACAGTGCGGGATTACAGGCTGAGCCACTGAGCCCGGCTAGGTGTAAGTATTAATTGGTAATAGTGTCAATGATCTAAAGAATGTCCTTATTGAGCCAGTAAGTAAATAAATGTCACTTAATGATTTATATATAATCTAAATAGTAGAGTAAGATTGAAAGTCATTTATTAAATTAACTTCTAAACTTCTAAATCAGTGTTAGCATTTCTTTATTCTTTCAAAGTCCCTTTGATTTATTTTCTTCTTGCTGTAATTTACTCATTACGTTTTCCTTTTGTTGCCTCTTAAAGCCCAGGCTCCTAAAGACTGTTCTCTCCTCTCTTCTGTGTGCTCTCAACTACATTCTTAGTGCCTGCTTTACTCTCCTGTGCCTACTCTAGTCTTTTACTTTTCTACTCCTTAAGTTCACGGAGGCACATGTCACAGTAGCCACCTTCCTGGCCTGTATTTCACATTGCTGAAACTTTGTGCCAGTTCTAAGGCAGTTTTTCCTACCAGGCTTATGCAGTGTTTTAGTGTTACAAGCACCATTCAGTCATCAACTCTAAATTGTTCCAGTCTAAATGCTTGAGAATTAAACCGTAAAGGCTGAAGGCAACCCACTGTTTATGAACTAACTGCTCTCCTTTGTATCTGGATGGTGACACTTATGAACCATCTATGGTACATGGATGAGATGGATGAGGAACTGTTGAGAAAGACCCTCAAAGCTGCCACTTGTTAAATCTTCTTTGAGTCTGAGCTATGTTTAAAAAGACAACTAGGAAATGAGAGGGCACAGAAGGGGAGGTACCTGGGCGGGGTTGGATGTGTTGGCAGGTCTTCCTATACCTGCCAAGTTTGGTCTAAGGCAGGCAGGAAGCTTATTAGCAATAGCCAGGGCTTTGTTTGTTTGGGCTTTTACAGGTTGGTTTTTGCTTTCATCAGTCTCCAGCTATAGAGGTCCTGGAAAGAGGGAGAAGGCATTGGAAACTAACTGTAGCTCTGGATTTCAGTTTCAGCGGATGTTCTCTCCAGCTTCCAACAGACCCTGCACTCAGCTTTGCTGAACCCCATTCCCCAATGTCGGCCAGCGCTTTCCACTTTACTGTCCCATGACTTCTTCAGGTGAGGGCATCTGGGGTGGTCCCACACTACCTGCTCTCTTGTGCTTTGGGCAAGCACCAGTGGGGAGGGGTGGAAAATGAATGATGCAGTACCTGACAGAATAATGTCCGTAGGAGAAAACAGGGAAGAAGTTAGGTTGCCTCTTAGTTTCCTGTTACAGATAGGAAATTTTAGAAATGCTGATTATCATGAAGGTTTGGACTTAGAAATTAGAGCCAGATTCATGAGGGCTTCTGATTTATAAAGAAGCTAGGCTGTGTCCAGTAGATAATATTTGTGTTAGTTAATTGAAAAGGTTAATAAGCATGACCTCTCCTTTCTGCTGCCATTATATTATTGATAGGAGCTTTTTATTGTTGAATTTTTCTTGTAGTGGCAGGGAATTCGTTTATTTTTCTTCAGTCAGAAGATTGTTTTCTTTGTTTAGTAATTCCTGATGGAAGAACAAAGAAGTTGGTTTGGGGGGGCACAATATAACTTAGTACTTTCCTGGATTCAGAGATGTTTTGAACCTCTTATCAAGGATAATTTCAATTATGCCCTTCATTTTTATTTCTATTATTGCAGAACTTCTGCACAGTTTAGTACCATATTAGCAAAACCAACCTTTTGTTAGTTTTGAAACTAAATATCCTTTTATATTTGCACTTGCAGAGCCTGGGGAAAACCAGAGCAAAGAGAAAGCCAATATTATCCCAGAAAGGGGAAAAAATTATCTCTAAGATAGGACTTGAGGGGCATAGTATATTATTAATTAAGTAGTATTTGTAGATACTGGGATTATATTTCCCATGTATGTTTCAAATCAACTGTTCAAAACCTTTCTCATTATGAGATTTTTGGGGGGAATTTTTTGAGTCAGAGTCTTACTCTGCTGCCCAGGTTGGAATGCCGTGGCATGCTCACAGCCACCGCAGCCTGAACTGTTGGGCTCAGGCGATCTTTCTGCCTCAGCTTTCCAAGTAGTTACCACAGACACACACCACCATGCCTGGCTAATTTTTTTTTTTTTTTGTAGAGACAAGGTCTCGCCAGGATTCCTAGGCTGGTCTTGAACTCCTGGGCTCAGGCAGTCCTCTTGTCTCTCTGTCTCCCAAAATGGTGGGATCCACCATGCCTGGCCTTTTTTTTGTTTGTTTTTTTAATTGACAATTTGAAGTTTTATATATTTTACTATTATGAGTGTCTTTTAACCAAGGTATTTCCATGTCCTTTTGATTGATTCTTAGTAATATTCTCTTGATATAAAGTCTATGCAAAAAATAATGTTTTATAGTTAAGTAGCTTCATTACTGTGTAATATGAATTCTTTATTAAGAACTGTATTGCAAGTTGAGAGGGAAGAAGAAAGCTAAAAACACACCAACTTCACCTTCGGCAAATCCCATTGTTATATGTGAGAAGATAACCCAGCCAGGGACAATAGAAGGAACAAGGCCAGCATCTCTTGCTGAGGCAGTAGAGCCAGTTTGATTACATTTAAGTGAAGACATCTCTGCTGCTGAGAGAGAGGGAAACATAAGATAGGTGTCAGTGTAAGATGTGGAGACTCCGATGGCAGTTATGCTCCCTAGTCCAGCTCACATCCCACACGCAGGAGGATGTGAGCTGAACAGTCCACAGCCTTTGGGGTTCCCTGGCGGCCCTGAGGGAAACTGGCCACTCCTCATATCATCTCTGCCTGTCTGAAGAATGACTAAGTAACCTGCAGCGGGAGAAATGAGAAGATTCCTGTACAGATATTTCACTTTCTCCAACCTCTTTAGTAGCTTTTACTTCAGCAAACAAGACTTGAAAATCAACAACAGTATTTCTTAATGGTAATGTCCTTTCTCCCCAGAATATTTCACTTATTATCCTATTACAACCAAAAATTTGGAGGATTATAGTGACTTAAAGCTATAAAGCATGTTAGCATGAGTGTATTCAAGTTTATACCCTTCTCACAGATCTCTCTGATAATTCTTATTATTTATTACATAGTATTTGTCTCATAAGCTACTTAGTTACAACAGAATCTTTTAAGTGGCATGGGAGAATGTTTCTCTGATGAAAATTATAATGCTGAGTTGTGGTTATAGCTTCTGTATTTAACATGCCTTTTCTAATCTATTATATTTCTTTTCTTTTGACATTTAGAAATGATTTTCTAGAAGTTGTGAATTTTTTGAAAAGTTTAACGTTGAAGAGTGAAGAGGAAAAAACTGAATTCTTTAAGTAAGTTCATAAAGTTAAGACCTTAAATTCAGTAACTTGGATTAAATCCATGTAATTACTTCAGGTAGTCTAGGGAAGATGAGTTAGACATTGGTTTATTTGATAACATTTAGTGAACATTTCCTACATGCCAGCTTTCTGCTAGGCCCCGGGACAAGGTAGCTCTAGTAGGGGAGACAGATATCCAGACTGATAATTCTCAGACAGAGGGTGGGTACAGAGCCCATCTCGGGAACACAGAGGATGGGGAGGAAGTGGTTCGAGAAAAGGAGCTTGGGCAGAGGGGTAATATGAGCAGGTGTATGAAGGCAAAACCTTGTGTGACTTGTGGGAAATAGCGAGCAGTGGAGTCCTGCGGGGCAGCAACTTCCAAGACAAAGACCGGTAGGAGGTGGCCCTTGTATGTGGCAGTGATGAGTGCTGACACAGATCGCAAATAGTGCACTTCAGGCATTGAAGCCATGCGGGGGTGCGGGGGGAACAGATTAATCCATGACTGAATTAATTTCCCTGAATCTGGGTGGGTCACTCTGTTGTCTTCAGAGGGGGAGGCGTCACTCCTCAGTAGATGTGAAGCCACACGTAAGGGCATTGGTGTTGCCAGTGAAGATGATACTGAAATAAGAAAGACTTAGAAGATGAAGTTGGCAAGCCTTAGTGATGATTACGAAATAAAATAGAGAATACTGGAGGAGAGGACCTAACATATAGGGAAAATTATGACTTTAGTGTTGGATGTGTTGGTTTGAAGTATCTGTGGGACTTTAGACAAAGATGTGCATGGACACTTGACCCAGACAGGTCTGAAGCTCAGAACAGAAGTTGGAAGCTGATGAACTAGAGGTGAGTATTAGGCATCACCAGCATAAGGCAAAGGAGCAATGGTTAGAGGAGATTCAGAGATTGCCAAGAAGGCTGTGGTATCCAGAGGGGTAGGGAACTTCAGAAAGGTGAGAACTGACAGATCATCACTCATTTAGCTATCAAGGCAGCACTGGAACCTTGGCTTAGCAGGAGCTATAGACAAAGGGGGTGAGAAGTGAATGGAAAGTGAGGAAGTGGACACTGGGAAACCCTGAAAGACACGGAAAGAAGAGAACAAACTGTTGCTGAAGCAAAGGAAGGATTTAAGGATGGAAGAGATGTGAGCACGTTTTTAGACTGAGGGAAAGTACCAGTGGAAGAGTGGGTGGAGCAGCTGAAGCTGCGGTCATGTTGGGGAGACCATTCATGCATGGTCCTGGAAGAGGAAGTAAGTCAGGGCAGTGGTGGGGGCTGGGGTAGCCTTAAGAGAGCACGAGTCTGGTACTGGAAAGGAGGCAAGAACGAGTATGGGTGCAGGCCTGTTTGCTGATGGTGGCGAAGGGGTTTAGAGGTGATAATGCATGATGTTACCTGTTTCCTGATAAAGTAGGAGGCAAGGTCATCAGCTAAGGGTGACTGTATAGCAGAGTATTATTACTATTAATACCTAATATCTGTGTTCCTTAACAAAGGGCTGTTATAAATATGTTTTAATTAGGTTAATAAAATAAGCTTGTATTTTGTTTAGTGTGGAAACTTCTATACCTTTTAAATTTGAAAGTGTCTTTTCTTATCTAGAAAGCCTCTAGCTTATTAGGGGAAAAAGGAGGACACTTTTACTGTTAATAAGGAATAATTTCTTGAAAACATTTCCTAGCCTGGAATGAAGTTATGCTAACTAGCTGGCTTTGCTTCACACTTTCTGCATTTTTCTTAGGTACTTGGGGACCAATCTGTTCACCTTCCCTAGCTACATTTCAGAATGCATCACTGTGATAGAAATGGGAGCATGGCCATTTGTGGGCTGAACTGTACTAAGTGGATACAGTTCAGGACCAGTTTCCCAGCCTTTCTTCTTTTGTTCTCAGATTCCTGCTGGACAGAGTCAGCTGCTTGTCGGAGGAATTAATTGCTTCAAGGCTGGTGCCTCTCCTGCTTAATCAGTTGGTGTTTGCAGAGCCAGTAGCTGTTAAGAGTTTTCTTCCTCATCTGCTTGGCCCCAAAAAAGGTTAATTTTTTTCAAGGTATTATTGGTAATTAAGGAGTTTGGGGATTATTTGTCCATATTTGAGCAGGGTGAGATTACTGTGTGATGTAGTTAATGTTTGGTTCTAAATATGGACATCAGTTACTGGCCCCTGATATGAAAACCTTAGCTCAGACTTTGGATGAATGCAAAGCATCTTCCAGGAGAGTCAGATTTACTGGAGTAAGGGTTACATATAACTAGAATAGGAAACACATGAAGTTTTAAGGCAAGACATACATCTTCACAGAACTTCTGCATTTATTGTGAATCATTTAGGCTGTGCCTCCTGTTTTACCAAGAGCAGCCCATTTATTTTCTGTTTTCAGTGGGAAGACTGAAAAGCACTAAGATCATTTTACTTGGGGATTTCAGTTTTGTTTCTGAATGTAAAATGAGATTATTACTTTGAAATGTTACAACTTTATAGCACTGTAGATGGTAACACATCAGATTCGAGATGATAGCATTAATATACACTATAGAATTTTAAGTTAGGTAGGATCCTGCTTCCAGAATTTTTTTGCAAGATCTCAATCCGACAAAGCAGTTTTACAGATAATTGCTTTACATTTAGAACTTCCTTGTGTCTTTACTTTGAAGTCAGTTCCCTTTAGCCATGTATTTCTGTTTATAGCTTTTCCACCCTATTCCTCATTAGATTTTTTTTTTTTTTTTTTTTGAGTTGGGGTCTCACTCTGTTGCCCAAGGTGGAGTGTCATAGCATGATCACGGTTCATCACAACCTGGACCTCCTGGGTTCTGGCAGTCTTTCACCTCAGCAGCTGGGACTACAGGTGCATACTATCCCACACCCAATTAACTGATTTTTTTTTTTTTTTTGTAGACATATGGTCTTGCTATGTTGCCTAGGTTGGTCTTGAACTCCTGGGCTCGAGCAGTCCTCTTGTCTTGGCTTCCTTAAGTACTGGGATTACGGACATGAGCCACCACACCCAACTTCGTTAGATCTTAAATAGGGATGTACGTCTGTATCACCTAGGTTGCTTTTTAAAAATAAGCTTGTATGCATAATCCACTGGTTCTGGGACAGAGCCAGGACATAGGTATACCTAAGTTTTAAAGGTCCTTGGATAATTCTTATGCTTACCTGGTTTGAAAACCACTACCAGGGGGACTATCCAGCATCAAAATCCCATTGTAGCATTTAATTCTGCATTTGCAAATAAAATTGCAGCAACAGTATCAGTATGTCATTAGTATATGAAATTCCTTGCTGATTAAACATACATTTGTAAGATTGTTACTGATTCAGGATTCTATTAAAATATAAGCTTCCTTTGTACTACATTATAGTCTCTAGTATTTCAAAAACATTTCTAAAAGGGTAATTAAGTCTTAAGTAATTTGAGGTCAAGAAAAAAAACTTTCCTTTGGTTTGGGGCCTAAGAATTTAGAAGCGCACTTAGAATCTATGTAAAGTTCTGGGCTTAGTTTGTGAACTACACTAGTACTCTTTTCACTGAAATGACAGTTGGTTTCTTTGTCTGTAACCTCCTTTGATTTGGGGCAGATCATGCGCAGGGAGAAACTCCTTGCCTGCTCTCACCAGCCCTGTTCCAGTCGCGGGTGATCCCTGTGCTGCTGCAGTTGTTTGAGGTTCATGAAGAGCATGTGCGGATGGTGCTGCTGTCTCACATCGAGGCCTACGTGGAACACTTTACGCAGGAACAACTGAAGAAAGTCATCTTGCCACAGGTCAGAGACCAGGTTGGCAGCAGGGTCGTCATAGAGCCTTCCAAAGGGAAAGAGAGTGGGCAAAGTCGTGCTGGTAACTTGGGGGCTGAAAGGAAGAAGGTTTGGAAGTATTCAGATAATAGCTCAGGAAGCCTTAAGGCAGCAGTTCTGGTTTAAAAACCTACCGGAATGCAGAGGGCTGAGATTAAAGTTGTATTTCCATTTCATTCACACAGGTAAATCAACTTAACATAACTGGCCTTAGCCTGGGAGAAACTAATTATTTTTGCTAATTTGGGGGGCAAGGTGAGTAAGAATCATTTGTGGAATGCTTTGAGAACACAAACTATTATTGTCCGTAAGCATATTGTTATAAAATAATTAAATCAGAACTGAGAGAAACATGAGATTATTTATATCTAGTTTTCAGCCTGTTTATCAGCCACTAGGGAACCTTATGATTTGCTGACTCGAGGGCTTCAAGTTTATTAATAGTTTCTTATGGCTGCCATAACATATTATCACAAACTGCATGGTATAGAGCATAGATATTTATCCTTTCTCAGTTCTGGAGGCCAGCAGTCTGAAACCAAAGTTTTGGTAGGACCACACATCCTCTGAAGCTATAGGACTCTTTCTTTCCTTGCCTTTTATGAGTTTTTGGTAGCTCCCAGCAATCCTTGGCATCTCTTGATTTGTGGCTGCATCATTCCAGTTTCTGCTTCTGTTGTCACATGGCCTTCTTTCCTTTGTGTCCTCACATGGCCTTATGAGGATACCAGTTACTGAATTTAGGGCTTGTCCTAACCTAGTTTGACTATATCTAAAAAACACTTTCTGTATGATCATGAATTTTGAGGAGGGTATGAGGTTTTTAAGAATATTGTTTCAAAAGATACCAATTGATGGTATCTCATCAAGTAATTTATTTATTTATTTATTTTTTGAGTTGGAGTCTCACTCTGTCGCCCAGACTGGAGTGCAGTGGCCGCTCCCGGCCACCGCAGCCTCGACCTGCTGGGCTCCAGCGATCCTTCTGCCTCTGCCTTCCAAGTAGCTGGAATTACAGGCATGCGCTACCACGCCCAGCTGATTTTTTGATTTATTGTAGAGATGAGGTCTCGCTGCCCAGGCGGGTCTCGAACCCGCGGACTCAGGCCTCACCTCAGCCTCCCAAAGGCGTGGGATTACAGGCTGAGCCACCGAGCCCGGCTAGGTAATTTATTTTCTTATGAGATTAGCATTCTCCGTTTTCAAGGAGTTAATAAGTGAGAAGGATAGTTATTTTAGTTGTCTGTTGCTGTGTAACAAACTACCCCCAAAACTTAGTGCATTAAACAATTAGGCTGGGTGCAGTGGTTCACACCTATAATCCCAACACTTTTGAGAAATCAGGGGAGGATTGCTTGAGCCTCAGGAGTTTGAGACCAGACTTGGCAACATAGCAAGACCTTATCTCTACAAAAAGATAAAAATAAAAAATTTGGCCAGGTGTGGTGGTACATGCCTGTAATCTGAGCTACTTGGAAGGCTGAGACAGAAAAACTGCCTGTGCCCAAGAGGTTGACGCTGCAGTGAGCTGTAAGCATGCCATTGCACTCTAGCCTAGGCGACAGAGTGAGAGCACAACTTAAAAAGAAAAAAAAATCATGTTTTAATTCTCATGATTCTTTGGATTGACTGGGCTCAGCTGTGAGTTCTGTTGCACCATATGTCAGTTGAGGCTTCAGTCACCTAGGGCACATGCAGACTGACTCCTTGGCACCTTGGAGGTGATGGCCGAAAGACTGGGTTTGGCTGGGCTTTGGGGATAGCTTGGCTTTTCTCTCCATGAACTCTCAGGGCTCCTCTCCCCATCAGGTGACATTTTCACATGATTTCTCTAGCCTTTTTATATGACTGATCAGGGCTAACAAAATGGCAAAAGCAGCCTTCTCAAGGTGTAGGTTGGGAACTGGCAGTGCCATTCCACCACACTCTCTCAGTTAAAGTGAATTACAAGAGACAGCCCAGTTTCACTGTGGAATAAGTTTACACAAGGCATGGACTAGAGGTGTGGTTCACTGGGTGCCAACTTGAGAACCTAGCTACCCAACATAGCACTTTGTATTTACATCTGCAGCAGTAATTATTGCCCTATATAGAGAGCTGTGTCTGGAAATGGAGAAAAGGAATGAAGCACTAACTCTGAATGGAGGTATAAAGATCTCAATAGGGCTGGGGTCAAAGAATGAGTAGACAGATGTTGAGCATGTGAAAGACAGTGAGAGTGTTCATTACTTAGGAAGGATAATAACTCAGCCAATTTATGTGTGCTAGAAAGTTCACTTTGGCAGTGTGGAAGACAGACCATAGAAAAAGAGGTCAGCTGGGAAGCTGTTAGAATAGTTCTGCTGAGAGATGAGAGGCTGAGGAAAATTTGGCAGTGGATACGGTAGAGACATTAGGGATAGGACTTGCTTTTTCACTAGATGGAAGGGATGTTGAGGATGATGGATTTTTGGCTTGGGTGGGTGATTGTTTTATCCTTGTCATTCAGTTGATAGAATTCATATACAAAAGAAAGATGCTTTAGTTTATTTATTCATACAGCCTTGTTCTGAGGAAGTACCTGATCTGTTAGCATTGGATCTTAGTTACCTGGCCTTGTGTCTGCTGGTACTGATGTCATACAGGTCATCTCCTTCCTTACACAGAGAGCAGCACCTCTCCTGGTACCTGCATGTGACTGTATTAGTTAAGGTGCTTTTAGTTGCAAGTAACTGAAATGCATTTTAAACCAGCAAAAGCAAAAACAAAAAAATTAATGAAAGAATGTTAAGATTATTTTACATGAAAGTCTCACAGAAACTCCTCATTCCTTTCTCTGCATGTGTTTCACTTTTGACTCTCTGAAGACCAGCCGTCATTGTTTTGGTGTGCATATGGCCAAACACGGCTGTCTTGTAACTTCCAAGTTTACTGTCTTTTTTTGAAACCTTTTTTTTCTTAAGAGACAATGTCTTGCTATGTTGCCCAGGCTGGAATGCAGAGGCTATTCACTGGCATGAACCTACTGCTTATCAGCACAGGAGTTTTGACCTGCTTCATTTCTCACCTGGGCCAGTTCCCCTCTCTTTAGGCAATCAGGTGGTCCCTCACTTCCGGGAGGTCACCATATTGATGCTGAACTTAGACTCCTGGTTAGCATATCATACTACAGCCCAGAACTCCTAGACTCAAGCAGTTCTCCTACTTCAGCTTCTGAGTAGCTGGGACTACAGGTATGTGCTACCATGCCCAGCATACTGTCCACAAGCCACAAAGATAACTAGTTTTTCCAAGTTACAACTTACATTACTGGGCAAGAGATCATGATAGGCTCGGTTTGGGCCAGTTATTCTGTGTATGCATCATATACAAAGAAAGTTTTCAAGGTCCTATCTTTTGTAGGTGTGTAGAGCTGAAAAGAGGGCATGGACCAGGAACATAATTTCTAGTTCCCTAAATGAGTGGTTCTGAGTACTCTCTGCAGAATACTGCCACTCTTTGGGTATTTGTTATGTTCCTATAAGGCGAGTACAGGTATGGAGAATTTACATTTAAAACCTTTTGTAGCAATTTGATGGAGTAACTTTACATTAGTTTCCAGTATATTTGTTTTGACTATATTTATTTATTTGTTTTAGAGACAGTCTCATTTTGTTGCCCAGGCTGGAGTGCAGTGTGGCACAATCATAGCTCACTAAAGCAATCCTTTCACCTTGGTCTCCCAAAGTTCAGGGGCTATATGAAGTGTGAGTCACTGTACCTGGGTGATTTTTTTCTTAATCAGTCTGATGGATTGGGAGGGGAAAGCATTGGTCCTTTACCACAGATATTTTGAGAGTCACCGACCTAGAATACATATCTAAGAAAATGTAGATCATCTGAGTAAGCACAGATCTGACCGTAGCCCAATTGCTTATATACAGATAGGTAATATGGTTGTCTGTTCTCATTACCTCATTTGTGCCTAGGTATTGCTGGGCCTTCGTGATACCAGTGATTCCATTGTGGCCATTACTCTACACAGCCTAGCAGTGCTGGTCTCTCTGCTTGGACCAGAGGTGGTTGTGGGAGGAGAACGAACCAAGATCTTCAAACGCACTGCCCCAAGTTTTACTAAAACTATTCACCTTTCCCTAGAAGGTAAGAATTATTAAAAGGCCTAGCATATGTTATGTTAAATTTTAATATTATACAAGTAATGCAAGAGAGTCATATTCAGTCAAATGATACCGGGAAGTGTAAAGGAAAAGTTAATTTCTCTTTCCCAACTCCTCCTAGGGGATGTAAGGTAACTGATTTTTAGTGGGAGTTCTTTTATACCTTTTTTTAAGCTCACAAAGAGAAACACGAATATTCGTATGTTTACATATACATACATATATACATACTTTTTTGGCACCCCCTGTATTTACTGTACTGTACTTTTTATCATTATTTTAGCATATACTCCTTCTACCTATTAAGAAAAAGTTAACTCTAAAACAGTATCAGGCAGTTCCTTCAGGAGGTAGTCCAGAAGAAGGCATTGTTATCCTAGGAGATGATAGCTCCATGCATGTTAATTGTCCCTGAAGATCTTCCAGTGGGACAAGATGTGGGGATAGAAGACAGTGATATTGATGATGCTGACCCTGTGTAGGCCTAGGCTAATGTGTATGCTTGTGTCTTCATTTTTAACAAAAAGGTTTAAAAAGTAAAAAAAAAATTTTAAAAATAGAAAAATGCTTTCGGAATAAGGATATAAAGAAAGTATTTGTACAGCTATACAATGTGTGTTTTAAGCTAAGTGTTATTACAAGAGTCAGAAAGCTAAAAACATTAAAATGTTACAGTAAGCTAAGGTTAATTTATTGAAGTAAATTTTAATAAGTTTAATGTAGTCTAAGTATAGTGTTTACAAAGTCTACAGTAGTATACAATAATGTCCTAGGCCTTCACATTTCAAAGACTCACCTAGAACAACTTCCAGCCTGCAAGCTCCATTCATAGTAAGTACCCTATACAGATGGACCATTTTTTTTCTTATATTTTACCGTACCTTTTCTATGTTTAGATATGTTTAGTTACACAGATACTTACCATTGAGCTACACTTATCTATGGTATTTAGTACAGCAACATGTACCAGTTCATAGCCTAGATGTGTAGCAGGCTATACCATCTAGGTTTGTGTTAAGTACACTCTGTGATGGTCATATAAGGACAGATGCATTTCTCAGAACGTAACCCCACTGTTAAGCATTGCATGGCTGTGTAGGACCTTTTTAAAAACGATGAGAAAACACCACACACAAATCTACAGCTTGCTTTCCTGTAACAGCATATCAAGAGTTTGCCTTCAGGCCCACACATGGAAAGCTAACTCATTCTTCTTGGTAGCTGCCTGATATTTCGTTGAATGCAACCCATCCAATGATTTTCTTAATCGTGGATAATGCATCCATTTTCAGATTTTTAATCTCTACAAACAGTGTTGCAGTAAATATCTTTATACATGTGTCTTTACAGTTGGTCCTCCATATCTAACCTGCAGGTTTCTTATCTGTGGACTCCACTGACCCTGGATCAAACATATTTAAAATAGTAAGAAAAAATAATAATAAAAACTAAAATGTAACAACTGCTTACATAGTATTTACATTGTATTAGGTTTATAAGTAATCTAGAGATGACATGAAGTATGCAGGATTATGTGCTGTGGTTATACACAAACATGCCATTTTACATAAAGAACTGGAGCACCTGCAGATGCCAGAAGACAACTTTACATCTTGGATTTCACTGCAGTAGGATAAAGTCTCATAAGTAGACTTGCTGCATCAAAGGATATATTCTAAAATTTCAGATATTGTCACCTTCAAAAAGTTTGTAGCAATTCTTAATAACACTAGATGTTTAAGTTCTTTTGATTGTTTTGGCCCACTGGGCAAAAAGCTATTAATTTTTAGGTAGTTCAATAAATTCTTATTTCTGGTATGTTCCCATTGGAAGTTACCTGGGAGACAGCAGTAATTCCTGGTCTTATCAGAACTTTGTATCAACAGTGTCATTGCTTCTTCACTCCCTTTTATAGTCTCAAATAGGACAATTATCATGTTACGAAATTCTGAATCTCTAATTCATTTCTCACAGATAGTGAGTAGACAGCATGGAAAATTAGTAGGAAAGTTTTCACATAGGTTTTTCTCCAATTTTGACGCAAAGAGAATTTCTGAAACAACACTGGATTTCCTAAAATTTTGAAGAGAGTTCACCTCTTTCTTGGCCTAATGAAACCAGTGTCATTTTGGCTCCAAAGAGCTTGGAAAAGGTGATGTTGAGGCTATAGCTTCACTTTCAGCTATTAATTGTACATACTGAATTGGATGGGGCCTATTTGTTTCCAGTTCTTTTAGCAGATTATATCAAACAGCAAATGAGCTGTGTTTATATATCATGCCAAAGGAAAACAATTTTTTGAGAGGCATAGTTTTTGAGATAAGGCTTAGGGGTTAATTTTTGGGGCACCTTTCCATGCTGAATTTTAGCAGAAGTTTCCACTCCTAACATTTGTTTTGTTTATTGGACAGAGTTAATTAGTTGTAAACATTCTGTATTCCAAAGATGTATATCCATTTACATTGATCTGGATTACTCTGTAATCTTAGAAACTGGAAAGGCACCAGAGCAGCAGGAGCAGTTGCATTTTTCTTAAGATGAATTCTCCTAAAGACTTTGTAAGACAGAGCAGCAGTCTGATCCCACTGACTTTCCAAGTTCGGCTCTTCACTGTGGAAGCCAAGTGCACCTTGGTGCAGCCTCCATCCTAGGTTTATGGTTATTAGCAGCCCTTCAGGTCAGGAGGCAAGAGGCATGTCTGGGGGAGGTCCTCTTGGACTTTTTTTCCTTTTCTTTTTTCTGTCTTCTGCAGTTCACCTGCATGGTCAGACTTAAGAATAAGGGCTAATATTGAAGTCTCTGAAACGTATCCCTAAGGAAAATAGGAAATAAAAGTAGGAAATGCATCTGCCTGATGCATTATTGCCTGAAAAGGAGTAAGTCTGCTTGAAAGAGAGCTGGGGGAACACAGTTTAGAGAACATCAGGTAAGACACTGGATAGGAATTCCGCATGGAGAACAGTGGCACAAATAAGGGAGAGGGTGGAGGGATTGTTGAGGCCAGGCCTTAGAGGGAGGGCGGCGTGAGAATGGGAGATGTGCTGAAGGGAACTGGGGGCCTGATAGTGACAATTTACCCCACACCTTCCCGCTTACCCTATTTTTGCAGCCAAAATTCTGCTGGAATCTTTTTGACCAATGCCCAGTCTTGAGTATAAGTTTTCTGGTCAACCCTTAAAGACATCTTCTTAAAACAGTTCACCCCTTCTCCCCCAGTTGGGGGTTATGGCTTGTATTTATTATTTTAACCATTTTAAAATGTATAGTTTTGTGGTATTAAGTACATCCATCTTGTTGTGCTTATGCTCTTACCCTTTAATCTTAAAAGTAAGTAGAATTAGTTATGGTTTTAAATCACCACCGTGTTTTTAAAGCTGTCATATTATTTAACTAAAGGCTGTATCTGTATAATGCTTGAGTCCTTTCTATTCCATCATCACCATGTGAAGTGGACCCAGCCTGCTCTTACACACGTCTAGGGACAGGCAGTCCATCCAGTAAGAGGCGTAGATGTTCTCTCCCTGCAATTTGTCTTTTATCTGTGTTCATTCCCCTTAGCTACTGCTCACCAAACACGTAATTGATCAAGAAGCAACTTACTGCCCCTTTCATTTTTTGGAGTTTTCATTTGCCTTCAGATTCTCCCACATGTGTCTGCAGCCAGCACAGTCAGATGGTGCCAGTCTTGGAGAACACTTCCTCTAGCATGTTCCCTAATTGTTTCTTTTCTGGCAACATGCCCATCAGCAGCAAGAAGCAAATACAGCAGGATTACTACAATACTCTTTTACAGACAGGTAGAAATATAAATTTACAAAGCTTTTACATTGCTTAGTTAAATGTTTTCCTGAGAGTAATGACTTTAAATTATGAAAATAAAGGGCATTTGGGATTGATTTCTCATACTTATAATCATGTAAGTCAACTTTGGTCTCATCTTGTTTCTCCTGACTATTGGATATATACCCACCCATTCTCTGTAACTGGTGAGAAGAGGTTGACACTACTTGAATTGTTTTGGGGACTTCTGATGCCTTAGTGTAACATCTTCCAGACTGTACTGAGAAGGATAGTTCTGAAAGATGCTAATAGAATGTGTTGCGAAAATAAGAGTTTTGTGGTAAAATAAGTTTGGGAAAATAGTAGCAAACTCATTAATACGTTGCATAAGATTTTTCAGTGCCTTAACTACACTTAGGATTGGGTTAGGCAACTTACTGGAGCATAAAACACTTTCTCAGGGCATACATAATTAACATCTTAAGGGTGTCATTGCCTGGATTAGAGCATTTCTGTATTTACTTATAGAAAATTATGCCAATATACATTATATTTGGATGTTTAATAAGGGATTGGATGCTCTAGTTGTTACCTGGTATGCTTCCATTGGGTTAATGATATTATATAAGCATTATATAGTAAGTATTTTGATAACTTATGTGATCTTTAATGTTGAGGGATGTTCTGCTGGGATACCCTTTGTTTAGTGTGCATGGACATTTTCCAGCTAATTAAAACCACACACTTCCTTAATGCTAACTTTCCCTTAAAAGTGCTGCTTGCACTTAACCATTATTTTATTAGAATAATTCTTATATATATCACCACAGGTGATCAGTTTTCTCAGCCTATTAAATTTCCAATGAATGGGATCTCAGATGTGAAAAATACTTCCGAGGACAGTGAAAATTTCCCATCAAGCTCTAAAAAATCTGAGGAGTGGCCTGACTGGAGTGAGTCTGAGGAGTCCGAGAACCAAACTTTCAACATACAGATTTGGCCTCGAGAACCATGTGATGCTGTCAAGTCCCAGTGTACTACCTTGGATGTGCAGGAGCCAGCTTGGGATGACTGTGAGCCCAGCAGCTTAGATACTGAAATAAACCCAGGAGGTAGAATCACTGCTGTAAAACCTGTTACCTCAGGGGAGCCCATTCCTGCTTTGCTTCCACTCACTGATGAATCTAAGCTTTGGAAATCAAGCCTACCCCAAAAGACGAGACTTGTACAAAATGGGGATGACTCAGACCAAATCAAGCCACTAAAAGCGTCATCACAAGAAAGGCCCCTTAAGGTTCCATCAGAACTTGGTTTAGGAGAAGAATTTACCATTCAAGTAAAAAAGAAGCCAGTACCAGATCCTGAGTTGGATTGGTTTGCTGACATGATACCAGAAATTAAGCCTTCAGCAGCTTTTCTTATTTTACCTGAACTGAGTACAGACATGGTGGTTCCCAACAAGAATGATGTCTCACCAATGATGCAATTTTCCTCAAAATTTGCTGCAGCAGAAATTACTGAGGTGAGTATCTTTGGATTAAATTGTGCTGCTAGCTTTACGATTTCCCTTATGGGTCCCAATTGCACTATTCCATCGATAACAAATAACATGCTGTTTTCCCAGTGAAGGAAAAGACTAATGTACACAATTGGCTAAAATAATCAAGTCAAGCATAAAATCAACAAAACCAGTTTCTATAACTAGCATCTTTCCTTCCCCTGGAAAAATGTAGCGATACTTAGGCTAAGTTTTTAATGATTTACTTGTCACATGAATAACATTTTTATTTGAAAAAAGAATTAAACCAAGAATATGGTCATTGTGCCTGATTTTACTAGATTTTATGGTTTTTGGAAAGCTATTTTCCAGTGCTTTGTTTTCATAATACTAGAACCAAAGTAATCCTCTAACTTTTTGGCTTTCGGTTGTAGCTTTAAGTTATTTTACTTAGCATGAGGAAGTATATTCTGTCATCAAAAGACAAGTGTTAAGTCCTTTTTTAAAATTCCTGCTTTTCAAATCTGGAGATTGTTTCAGTGAGTTGTTCTTGGTGTGCTTTATTTTGTTGCAGGGAGAGGCTGAAGGCTGGGGAGAAGAAGGGGAGCTGAACTGGGAAGATAACAACTGGTGACAATAGATGTGAGCTGAACTTTGGGAAAATGAACTCCCTTTAAAAAAACAAAGCAAATTAATACCTCAAAAGTAGGCTCCATGGACAAAAAAAAAAAAAAAAAAACAACAAAACCCCAAAGTGGCCTATTTCCCCTTACCAGGAGTTCTTTTTCTAGTCTGTGCCAACTGAAGTTTGAGACTGACCTCAAGTGCTGGCTAAAAGCCCTGGGTAGTGGAGAGGCTCACAGTACTGTTTTCCAGGAAGAGTCTGCATTTGACAGAGGCCAGTTTCTGTCAAGAGAAGTAGCTGAGGAAAGGCTGAATTTACTGCTTTTTCCAGGACAATTCTGGAAGTAAAGAAAATAAACATAAAAATTCAAGCTGGTTAGCTTAATTTTGTGCCATTTCTTTAACAGTCAAAAGACTAAGCTCTATTATGAAATGCAACTTACTGAAAAAAAATTTTAGCTATAAATTATATAAATGATTTTAAATTGCTATCGTTTCCTTAGGCAACTTATTTATTTGTTTACAGTGGTACTGTCTGAGTGAATGGTTCTGTGTGGACCTAGGCAGTTACTGACTGTTTCATGTGTATTACATTGTACCAAAGTTCTTAATGAGAAATATCTCCCACCAATCCTGTTCTCTAAATGTCAAATAAAGACTATTTTCACTAGACTCAATTTACAAAAGCTGTTTTATATGTGCTAGAAAATATACAGACATAGTTACATCAGTATTTTCATTTACAAAATATATTTTAGGTTGACAAAATCAGTTCTGCCTAGTGATAATATGGTGCAGTCCATCTGCGTTTCACCCTAGAGTATGCAACGTCTTAGCTTATCAATCCTTTCTTGGAGCGCCTCCATTTCCATTAGAAGCCAGGGTGGAGCAGGAGCCTTTTGGAGTAATGACTCCGTTGCTTCCAAGGCCTCTGCTACTGTTTGCAGTGCTGACCTGTACTCTTCTTCCAAGGGGAACTCATGGCGAGCTCTTTTTGCACAAGGCTGAAAAGTGAGAAATACACTCAATAAGCAATGCCATAATACCCATCCTAAAAATAAACTTCCTTTTGGACTGGAGTGAAGCTTATTAGAACAAATTCTAAAACTACAAAAAAGTTTATGTGCAAATGTTATTCTAGTCATTGGATTTCAAAGGCCCTATGTACACATTCATCTAAAAAGATATGTGAATGCATTTTGGCTTGTCACTGTGGTTTACGGTGTCCTGTCCTATCCCAAAGGGCTCCCAATGAAAAATGCTTAGTCCAGTAATTTCTGGTATTTTGTAGACATATCTCATAATCTGTCCTTACAAAAAAAGCACCAAGTATGAATTTTTAAAATGTTTCTGTTTAGTTTTAATGCTAATTTTGTAATTGATGAAAGTCATAATCTTTCAGATACTTTTGGAGCCAGTTAAATAAAATACTAGGTTTTTCAAGCATTGCACGGGGGAGCAAAGTATTGTGGCCAAGACATTTTTTATAATTGCAAAAAAGTCTTCGAAGGAAGGTCATGATAAATATAAATTCACAAGGATTTATTTAGGTGTAATTTTTAGACAATGCCAGAATAGAATGTTGATTCAATGAATGAGGTAAGGGGTCAAAGTAAACATGTTGGAAGGTGAGTGAATTGATTGATTTTCTTCTGTGGTTCAGAAACTACTGCACGTATAGCATCACCAGAGTAACAAATAATTTCCCTGAAAGGTATGGTGCTTAAAGCTTTTTTAAAGTTTTTAGTCCCATTTCTATGTGTTGATAACCTTTCAGGAAGAAAAACTGATTTTTAAAGAAGCAACTACCATAAAACAGGACAATTTTACATGTCTAGAACTATTTGATTTGCAATTTAAATACGGACCAATAACCAAACTAGTTCCTGTCTTATCAGTAAGTAATAAGGGCAGAATCTCCCTTGTTAAGAGTTTGATACTGAAAAGCAGCCCATACCTGCAAAGGTGGCCTCTTTACTTCTTCTACAGTCACCGTGGCAAAGGGTTCCCAGAAGATACCTTTTTCCTGCTTCACACGTTCCACTTTGGCAGCTTCAGTTTCATGTACAAACCCAGTCTGCCAGAGAATATGAAAAACCAAGCAAACATCAGCATGTTGGCACTCTTTACTAGGTATCAAATGGTGTTAATGTTCAGAAACTGAAAAGGTCAGATAACTTGACTAAGTTCTGAGTGTCCAACCATTCTGGGCTTAGTCTGTGAACCAGGCAAATTCTGGGAGTTGGTTGGACTCATCTGTAGATGCTTCCTTCCTCTTAGTGTTATCTAGATACAATCACTTTACTATGTTTTCTACAGATAAGTTGTAGAGCCCTTTTTCCTTTTTCAGGGGGGGAATAGTCTGCTAGCCCTTACTACACAGGCAAAGAAACTGGCAACAGCAAAGTACACACATATGCACTTAAAATCCAGCTTAGATGTAAGATATAAGTAAAATATATCCTATACGAGGAGGGACCCCAAAAAACCCAGAAATCATTTGTAATAAATTGTGTATTTATCCTTACATTTTTAAACTTCAGCCACCTTCAAAGTACTCTCCATTTGATGCAATACACCTATAGAGACACTTTTTCCACTGCTCAAAACTTGTCATTTTTGATGCCTTTTAGTGCTGCCATTTTTTGTTTCACCTCTTCCACATCAGCAAAACATTTCCCCTTGAGGACTTTTTTCATCAGGGGAAATAAAAGTTGCTTGGGGTGAGATTGGGTGAATAGGGAAGGTGGGGCACAGGAGCCATTCAGGTTTTGGTCAAACACTGCTTAAACACTCAGCACGGTGTGTGGGCAGATAGTTTGTGTAAATCACCCATCTTGAAATGCACAAACACATTGGGAGAATGCGCAAAATAGAATTCATTAAAGCCAAACACACCCTCTCACAATACTAGCTAGTACACTCATGCTGATGGGTTCCTAGAAGGCTTACCTAGCAGGGAAAGCCTATACAAGGAGCCTGCCCTACAAAAAATAATTCTGTCTATTTGGGGTCCCCCTCATATATGCAAAATATGTATATATCTCTGTGTGTATGTGTGTATTTAATTGCATATATAAAATACATACGGCCCAGTTTAATAATGATCATATAAAAATGAAATACTCAAGTATAATTTACTTTCTTACTCTAAGTTTGCGGTTTAACAGTTCTATTAGTATTTCAATTAACCTTTGACTTATATCTTCACAGTCACCACCTAAGTTTCAAAGTGTGCACAAACATGGGAGCCTTATGATTCAGAGTTTTGGTTCTAACTAAAAAGTTTTAAAATAGTATCACAATCTTGGAAAAATAGATCTTGGCCACAACCAGCACAGAAAACCCATACTTAAATTAAACCTAAAATATGGTAATAATCATCCTCTCAAGCCTAGCCGATTATGTAATCAGGTGCAACTAATTATGATTAGTAGCCAGGCAGGTGGCTCACGCCTGTAATACCAGCACTTTGGGAAGCCAAGGTGGGAGGATTACTTGAGCTCAGGAGTTTGAGACCACCTGGGAAAACATAGCAAAAAAAAAAAATTAGTAGTAGTAATAGCTTAGGGATCCTTGCTACTCATCCCACTGCCTGGATAATCATTTCTACTGTACCTCAATCTACAGGCAGAGAGATTTCACTTTTGTAACTTGATATTTGGTCTCAGTTGCTTAGTAACAGTGTGAGTACCATGCTGAGCAATGTGAAAAGTTTAAGCTAAGAAGATACACAAGTTGGTTCCAATTACACAATATGATAATATACTAAAAAATAAAACATGGGCTATACAAAAAGTACCTTCTCCAGAAAGGATACAACTTTGTTCTTAGTTTCTTCAGAACTAAGACACTGTGGAACTATCTCTTCATGATTTGTTCCCTATTAAAAAACAAAATCGACATTATTATTTCAACTTATAAGGAAAAATGAATTTTAAGGGCTACCTTAATCAAAATTCACTTTAAAAGAAAATACTCAGTGCCAGAGGATACTCAAAGATGATAAACTCACAGTTCTTTCAGGGTGTCTTGGGATAATACAGTATTAACTTCTGTGCAAGTTTAGTGCTGCAAGCTTTAACTACTTCTGTGCAGGCATACTAACGCCTCTGGACTCCCTTCAGACCGAAGGCATGACTGCATAGCAGTGGGTAAAAGTAGAAGGTCAACCCATTGCAGGGGTTACCTTCTCTATAGAACTAAACTACCAGGTTTAACTCTCATGATTGTTCAAGGTAAAATGTATTTTCATTCAACCCAAAAATACTGTCTAGAAGACAGTATCTGCATTAGTAGACCTGGTTTGAAGGCCTGTTCTGGTCCTTGACATTCAGAGGACTTCAGGAAATTCACTTTTGTTTCTCTAGGCCTAATTTCTAGCTCCTGTAAATAGATGACTAGTAATATCCCCTCCAAAAAATTTTATGACTAAGATACAGAAGGAGTTCAATAAATGTGTTGGAGTATCTGAAATATTAAAAAGTTTTAGAAGTCATTGTGAGAAGACGGTCTTATAATTACCTCGGCAAACTGAGTAAACGCCTCTAAGGTATGTTGTTCTAGCAGCCAATTCCTGTCAGCTAGTAGTAATGCAAAAATACATGACATGTTGGGCAGAATTCTGTCCTACAAAAAAACCAAGAGAAAAAGAAACCTCAGTAGAGTACGTTCAATGCACCCAGTGTTGTCAAGTTTCCATAATCCTGGCAACAGTAGATACGTATTAAAAAGTGTAGGTCATGTCATTCCTTTGTCCATATCTTTCCAGTAGCTTCCCATTTCCCTCAAGAGTCAAAGCCAGTTTTAGAATGGCCTGCAAAGTCCTGTACCTTTTTCCTGAATCTTCCAGGCCTGCTCCCCTTTCTGAGGCGTTGCACTTGCTATTTCTTCAGCTCAGAAGACTTCTTCCCAGATACCTATATGGCTTGCTCCCCACCTTCAGGTTTTCACTTACATGTCACCTTGGTGAAGACTCCACTGACCATATCCTGTTTTAAACTATCCCCATATTCATATTCCCTGCCTTCCTTTCCTGCTTTATTCTTCTCCAAAGCACTTACCACCATTTTTTATATATATATATATATATATATATATGTCTCACCACATTACTGTATGTTGCTTCTCAACAGGCTGAGGGTGGGGATTTATTAATTTGGTTCATTAGTGTATCGCCAATGATAAAACAGTGCCTAATACAGTAAGAACTGAAACATTTCTTTAGGCCCTGACTTCATCCATGGGAATATACAAGGCATTGCAAATTCTAGTAATAAAACATTTGTTTCGTAGGTTTTAGGCCAATGCATGGTGTCCACAGCCATGCATGAATGAAGCAGCATTTTAGAATAAACTTATTTTATGGTAAAAAGACTGTTCCAAGGCAAGTATCTTTGAATACTTTTATCAAGAGTTTTTTAAAAAGAAGCTGTTAACCTCTATACTTGTGTAATGAAACATAACCTTACAATATGGAGACAGATGGGACACTGTTGTTAATTTGTGAACAAATAAAATTTAGAAATTAACTAGTTTAGTTTTTGCTTTAAAGTGTTTAATCAACATGTACTGAGATAATCCCATCCACCATGTGTTTGCTCCGATTACAGAAGAAAATTCTCACCAGTGTGAGTTCTTTTTATAGTCTGTCCCTTGGAGGTTAAAAAAAAAAAAAGTATATATCAATTATTTAGAATTGTTAGGTCTAACTATTGCAATGAGAAGGGCAAACTCTCAATTTATGAAGATCTCCTTTTGCTCTGAGGTCTGTGTTTTAAAATTCAGTAGATATGTACTGCCAGGCCATTACATTACAATTTAGTAAACATTCGTCAGCTCTATATACTTTGCAACTTTTTGAAAATTCTGTCTTTAAAAACAATCTCTCTTTCATGGATACATAGCCAAAAAAATAACTTCAATAAATTACCAAATTTCCTAATACTGTATACACTGTACCCTAGAAGACAAAGGCTTACTACCCTCAAGAACCGTCTACCTGTGCCCAACTTGAATGAGAATCTCTTCTGTCAGACTATAGCTAGCCAATAAATTATATATATGTCAATGTATTTTTCTAAAACAAAATAACTTAAAATGTGTTCTATTTTGGCAGTCACCTCTGGAAAATAGATTTTTTCTTTGTCCAACTTTCATTGTCAGTAGTCTGGATTTCAGAAATTAAAAGGCTAAAAAATCCGTTAGTTACAAATTCTTACAGAGATTTTGTTTCTAATAATATAAGAACAGAATTAAGGAGTATTACCTGGATAGTGTGAGGTATAAAAAGATTTCCTAGAGAAGATAAAAAGGTCAGCATTGCCAAACAAACGTGGTCAGGAGGTTCTAATTTAAGTAGTGAGGTCTGCAAAGTTACTACCTACAGAGATAAAGACCAAGGAACGGTTAAAACACATGTTCATGAAAAACTCTGTATACCAAACCTTTAAAATTATTTTGCTCAGACACATCTTGTTTTATTGTACTCACTTTATTACTCCCAGCACATACTGTGCTTATTTATTCATTTGCAAATTGAAGATTTGTGGCAACACTTCATTAAGCAAGTCTATCAGCATGTGTTCATCTGTGTCACATATTGATAATTGTCACAATATTTCAAACCTGTTTATTAGTAGTCTATGTTGGTGATCTGTGGTAAGTGTTCTTTGATGTTACTATTGTTTCACGGAGCCACAAACTGGGCCCATATAAGAACAAACTTAATCAACTGCGTGTGTTCTGCCTGTTTCACCAACAGACAGTTCCAGAATCACTCTCCCTCTCCTCAGGCCTCCCTATTCCCTAAGACACAACAACATTGAAACTGGATCAATTAAGCCCTACAAGGGTCTCTAAGTGAAAAAGAGACTCTCACATCTCTCACTTCAAATTAAAAGCTAGAAATAATGAAAGGCCAAAAGCACAGAAAGGCTGAAAGCTAGGTCTCTTGCACAAAACAGCTAAGTTATGAATGCAAAGGAAAAGTACTACTACAGTGAACATTCAAATGATAAGAAGGTGAAACAGCTTCATTGCTGATGTGGAGAAAGTTTGAATGGTCTGAACTGAAGAGCAAACCAGCCACAACATTTCCTTAAGCCAAAGCCTAATCCAGGCAAGGCCCTAACTACTCTTCAGTTCTATTAAGGCTGAGAGAGGTGAGGAAGCTACAAAAGAAAAGTGTGAAGCTAGCATAGTCGGTTCATAAGGTTTAAGGAAAAAAGCCACCTCTATCACATAAAAGTGCAAAGTAAAGCAGCAAGTGCTGATGTAGAAGCTGCAGCAAGTTACCCAGAAGATCTAGCTAGGATCACTGATGGAGATGGCTACGCTAAACATATTTTCAGTGCAGACGAGATAGCCTTCTATTGGAAGAAGGGCCATCTAAGCCTTTTACAGCAAGAGAGATGTCAATACCTGGCTTTAAAGTTTTAAAGGAAACGCTGACAAAGCCTGGATGACAACACATTACTGAATATTTTAAGCCTACTGTTGAGACCTACTGCTCAGAAAAAAAAGATTCCTTTTAAAACATTACTACTCAATGACAACGCACCTAGTCATTCAAGAGCGCTGATAATACTGTTTTCATACCTACTAACACAGCATCCATTCTGCAGCCTACAGATCAATAGTCATTGCAAGTCTTATTAAAGAAAACATTTTATAAGTAATTCCTCTGATGGACTGGGCAAAGCAAACTGAAAATCTTCTGGGAAGGATTCACCATGCGAGATGCCATGAATAACATTTGATTCACTGGGAGGAGGTCAAAATACCACCATTTAATGAGAATTTGGAAGAAGTTGATTCCAACCCTCATGAATGACTTTGAAGGGTTTAAGACTTCAATGGAGAAAGATGTAGTGAGAATAGCAAGAGAACTAGAATGAGAAGTGTGTATGAATTGCTACAATCTCATGATAAAACTTGAATGGATGAAGAGCTGCTTCTCATGGATGAACTAAGAAAGTGGTTTCTTGAGATGGGACTATTTCTGGTGAAGATGCTGTGAACATGACTGAAACAACAACAAAGGATTTAGAGTATTACATAAACTTAGTTGATAAAGGAGCAGAAGGGTTTCAAAGGATCGACTCCGATTTTGAAAGAAGCTCAATAGTAGGTAAAACGTTAACAAATAGCATTGCATACTACAGAGAAATCTTTCATGAAAGGAAGAGTCAACTGGTGTGGCAAACTTGGCTTAAGAAATTACTGCAGCCACCCCAACCGTTAACAACCAATACACTGACTGACTGGCAGTCATCAACACTGAAAGTAGACCCTCCACCAGGAAAAAGATTATACCCACTGAAAGCTCAGATGATTATTAGCATTTTTTAACAAAAATACTTTTTAAATGAGGGCTACATATTGTCTTTTGTATACATAATGCAACTGCACACCTAACAGACTACAGTATAGTGTAAACAAAACTTCTACATGCACTGGGACACCAAATAATTCATGTGACTTGTGTTATTGTGATAGACTAGAACTGAATCTGCAATATCTCCCAAGTATGCCTGTATTTTAAGTTCTATTGCTAGAAATGCATTATTTGGTAAAGACTGGCAAACTTTTTCTGTGATAGGGGTCAAACAGTAAATATTTTAGGCTTTGCAGGGAACATGTTCTCTGCTGCATATTTTTTCACAAACCTTTAAAAATGCAAAAAATTATCTGTAGCTCCTTGAGCTGAAAAAAAGGAAAGCAAAGTTTAGCCAAGGGGCCATAGTTTGCCAACCCCTGATTTAATTAATTAATTAATTAATTAATTTTTTTGAGTTGGAGTCTCACTCTGTCGCCCAGACTGGAGTGCAGTGGCCGCTCCCGGCACTGCAGCCTTGACCTGCTGGGCTCCGGCGTCCGCCTCAGCCTTCCAAGTAGCTGGAACTACAGGCGCACGCTACTACACCCGGCTAATTTTTTATTTATTGTAGAGATGAGGTCTCGCCAAGTTTCCCAGGCGGGTCTCGAACCCGCGGGCTCAGGCAATCCACTCACCTCAGCCTCCCAAAGGCGCGGGATTACAGGCTGAGCCACTGAGCCTAGCTGCCAACCCCTGACTTAAAGAAACATTGAAGTAAAGTCTTTCATAAAGGAAGCAAACTTATATGAACAATATACTTTAAACTTTTAGAACTTTCATTGTTTGTACTTTATAAAGGTAGGCACATTATATCAAAATTATCAGCACTTAATTTTTCTAAAAGAATATTAGAGACTTCAGAATCAGCAAATTCGAATTGTTACGTTCAGTCAATTATTTTACTGTATTCTCTCTCATTTTTACAATTTAGTAGTCTATATTACACATATGGTTATCAAATAATATACCTAAATAGTAAATACTTGGTAATGCTAACTTCTTCATGTACACATCATTAACAAGACTACTAAAAACAAAGCTGATACTAGTTTATCCCGCAACAGGATCATCTCTTCCATTATCTTCCTAAACAGAAAGAGTCAGTTTCCCCTCTTAACATTTTTTGTTTTTCTTTCCTACCTAACCCTAAACTTAAGCTAACTCTCAATTTTAGGATCAATTCTATCCAGTATGGACTTATTCCAAAGCCTCTAAATCACTTCAGATAAATTGAAGGCCTCTCCCATTTTCTCTGTCATCTTAGAACCTCTAAAAGAATGGCATAACTGAGCCAACACCACAAGGGTTCTCCAGGCAGTGACTGAAGTTCTGGCTGTCCCAGCCATGTAAGTGGGAGGCCAGAGAGAAACTCAATAGAGCTCTTCTTTAAAAAAAAAAAAAAAAATTTCTTCAAAGAAACAATGAGTTATCTTTTAACTCAAGTTGGTTATAGTCCATATTCCCACAGCTGCTGAAATGCCTTTGAAAATGCTGTGAATGCAGGGTATAGCACATGACTCCTAACTTCAGGAATTTTCTTGGGTAGTTAACAGCAACAACAACAAGTCTTAACTGCTGCGTAGCAGAGTGACAAAGAAGAACTAATAAAGGCTGAATTGACAGCCCAGTATACTGACAATACTCTGAGAAGAAAGAGAAAGAAGGAGATATTCTTGATGAAGACAAGTGAATCTGTGACACTTATTTTCAGTTCAACAAGACATGGGTAACAAGCAAACTGGCAATAAATAATTTTAAAGAACTGTTTCTAGAAAGTTACTTTAAGTGATAGCAGTTTAACAACGCCCTTAGCAAGCAAGATAGCAATTTGGTCACTCTATCCTTACCTGAATTATCAGCCGAGGATCTAGAGTTTGAACGAAAAATCCCAACAGTGCAAGTAAAAGGCTGAATGTCTGCTGAATGTAAGGTTGACCTATTATCTTACGTGAGAAACAAAAATAATTTTGGTGAAAATTTTCAATTACATGAGAAAAGCTATAATAACAGCAATCTTTTGTTGAGCATTTATTATATACCAGACAATAAGTGTTTTATATTTATTACCTCTATTATGCCTTATAACAACTCTATGAGGTAGATATTATTACCCTCACTTTACTAATAAGAAAATAGAATCAGAGAGTTTAAACCATTTGATCAAGATCGCATGGCTAGGAAAAAGCAGAGACATGATTGAAATACAGATTTAAGTCTATAGAGGATCTACTAGTTACTTTTGTCTGCCACGGAAAAGCATGCATGTTCCTTAGTAGTCTCAAAAATTCCATTTTTCTTCATACTTTTGGTTTATTAATATTGTAAGCTATATCCCCAGCACAAGAATCTGGAATAATTATTGAATGATTTGAGCATCCAGGGGAAAAGCACATGTTGAAGTAAAAATACTGTAGTAGGACAATAAGACCATAAATAAGCATTAATAATAAAACGTTATCAGCAAAATTATTTATATTATTTCCCAAAAATATGGCTGCTGCCTTCAGCTTCCACTGTTTGCCAGAGCTCACATATCCTACCAAGTCAAAGAAAACAAACATCACATTTAGATTTTTAACCTATGAAGTTTAGAACCATCTGTGTAGATGTATATCATTCTAACTGTAGCCTGCTCATCACTTGGCTTCCTGGCTTTGTTGGGAAAGAGGAATACAAACTAGCCACATCTGTTCACTTCCCCTTCCACCTTTAAGTCAGATCACTCTCCAATGCCCCAAGCATTTTATAAAAGACCCTAGAATCACATAAGTAGGCTACATTAATTCAAGAAAACAGCAACAACAGGGAGATTTTTAATTCCTTTTAAGAAGCAGGGTCGAACCAGTCAGAAAAATAAATAGGGACGACTGCCCCTGTCACATTACTATATTCTAATTTTACTAATATGTTATCACACTCTGAAAAAGAAAACTGTCCGAGAGTATGAATAGATATTTAAGTTCTAATCATAAGTTCTACCAAGAAACCAAAGAAATTAAATTTTACTCAACAGGGAAATTTCAGAACTATTCTTTTTTCACTATTTTTTATTTGTTCTTCAGAAAAAGGATAAGTTGCTTTCCTCACCTGTTTAATGTTTAAAACAGTCCAAAGTTGACTCCCAACTTCCATAATTGCTGTTTGTTGTCCAGTATCCAGAGCTTCACCAGCAGAATTGCACACTGTAAGCAAAGCTGAGAGTACTGTGTTCTGAAGGGGAGAAAGAGGGAAAGGACTTGAGTTTAGATACCAGTGTAAAGGACCAGGAGCCCAGTTATCTAGAGGTTATGAGGTACCTTTAATACTTCAAAAAAGTCCGCATACAATAATATTTCTAAGACCAAAGCCATCAGCTAGTTTAACACAAGTATATTTTTATTAAAAGTAATTTTCCTGATATACAAAAACATTTGATTTTTCCACATAAACACTTTTTCCTTTTAGGTGTAAACTTTGATAACTTAAAAATAGAAACAGCAGTTTACGACTGAGAAAAATGGTCAGTCAAGCTAAATAATATCCATAAATAAAAAGTTTTATGTTTTCACATTATACACCCAACCTCTCAGTTTCTAGATTTTTATCGTTCCTATTTTTTTTTTAAATGTTAAATTCCTCAGCAACACTGCATTTAATAAGCAAATATATTCCTTAAGAAATATACTGCCTATAAATGTAATCTTTTCTGGATTTGCTCTTAGCTATGTGTTAAAATACTCAAATCTCCCCTAACTGGCCAGGAATGGGGTTGTTCGAGGTATGGTGGCAGTAGGATGGAGACCATATGAGAATGTAAACATTTCATTAACAATGAATGCCTTAAATTCGTGATACTTCAACAATCACACTTCATTGTATGTAATTACCATACAGCTTATTTAAGATTTACCTATTTCCTTTAACAAATAAATATGTTCAGCAACCTGCTGGACTAAAGTTTTGGTCATAGCTCAAAGGTTTATTCAAAGTGCTTTTATTTATAAAACAAAATATCTTTTGTCTTCACTACAAAAATTGGTGCACATTAAATGCAAAACCTGAACAAATTTACCCACTCCTAACCAAGTATTTAATAGTTCTTCCCAAATAAAGTCATATAAAAGGTTATTTCCTTTGGGTAGATGTAAATGTTTTAAATTACCTTAATAATTATGGTCAAGTGTCATGACATAACAGAATATTAGAACCATTCACATTCAGCATGGAAACATATGCCCTAAGCAAACCTTTAACTTCTAACTTAAAATTGTAAATAGGCCTCTAATTCCTTGAATGCCCTGTCCCTATCCTTGCTTAATTTTTCTTCACTTAACATAAATTGATATTTGTTGTTTTACTATTGCTAAGACATATGTAAGTCCGAGAGTAGAAATTTTTGTTTCTCGTTTCCTGACAAAACTTCAGTGCTGACTGGGAGGTCAGGAAGACGGCAGCCGAGCCAGCTGGACTACGTGAGTCCCGGTGTGAGCGAGTTAGTATATGGAAAATATTGTGTACATGCCGGTGACTGAGTGGCCATGTGAGTGGCTGACAGTGAGGGCTAGGAAGCTAGCAGCCAGGGCTCTCCTGGTGCAGCGACTGGTGCCACAGAAGCTCATATTGGACCCTAGCAATTCCCAGGACGTAGAAGACAAGTGATATTTTCTTATTTATTTATTTATTTTTATAATTAACCAACTCCTTCCTGGGAAGAAAATCCTGGGAGAGACTAAGTGGGGGCTCGTGCGGCAGTGGCCAGGGCCCTCCTGGTGCGACAGCTCGTGCTGCAGCTTCTCTGCTTGGTCCCTGGCTCTTCCCAGGTCACAGAAGCCAAGAGTCATTTTTTTTTTAATGGACAAAAGTCTCTGCTTCACCGGTGCAGCAGGAGCTGTGGAGGGAGCCCAAAGGCAGAGTCACAATGAAGAGGACAAGAGAGGCACCCACCACCATCTTGAAGGTGGGGCAGGGAAGTGCTCTGACTTGCACACTATGGAGCAACAGACCCGATCTCTGTGACTGGAGGATCAACTACACAGGGTTGATCGTGACCCAGGGGGAACATCCTGAAAGCCCAAACTTCGGAGGGACCTGATGAGTGCTGAGTCCCAGGCGCCCCAGCCCCTATCCTGATCCAGCCACGGGACAAAGGGTGTGGTCAGAAAAGGAGGAGGAAGAACTCCAAAGACATCAGTGGTGAGTCTGCCCCCACAATCCTCTGAATGTCAGACCCACACAGCTGGGCCACGACTGAGAGGGGCACACCCAGGTGGAGGATGAACCACAGTCACGATAGGAGAAAACTCCATTCCAGGAACGGCCTGGCTGGGGGACCCCCAGTGAGTACATACCTGGGGAAGAGACAATCCCACACCTCCCCACCAGAGGGTATCTCCCTGACCATACGAGAATGGGGGGGGAGGATTGCAGCCCCACCCACTCCACTGCCCCTACTCTGGACACTGGGGAAAGAGTGAAAGAAGTGGCAGCTCTTCGGGAGAGAGCAGACTAGAGGAACAGTTACAGAGCCTGCCACAAGAGGGCAGGGTTTTTTTCTAAATATTTTTTCTAATTTAAAAATTTTTTTTGCCTGATAGTTCATCTATTTTTAGAATATTTTTTCTTTGCACATGAATGTGTACATGAGGGTTTGATATGCATCCTCACCCCCTCTTTTTTTCTTGTTCTTTCTTCTTTTGCTTTTTGTTTTCTGTTTATGTGTATGTAAATGATTGAGTGTTCATCTTTCAATTTTATTGTTGTTGTTGGCTTGTTTTTGCTCTTTTGTTCTTCTCTTTTATTATTGTTATTATTATTATTTTAGTTTAAGGTGTGTGTCAATATATGCATGAGGGTTCAATATGAATTCCATTTTTTCTGGTCTTTCTGTTTTTCTTCTCCATTCATTTAGTGCTAGGCGTGTGTGTGTGTGTGTGTGTGTGTTTTTAGTTTTCCTAGGTTTTTTTTTTGTTGTTTGTTTCATTTCAATTTGTTGTTATTTCAGTTTGCTTTGGGGTGTGTGTATATGTCTGTGTTCAATTGTTTCTAGCTTTGGTTTCTGATTTCATTATTCTGTGGTTTTTTTCTCTTTTTTTTTCCTTTTAATTCTTGTCCATCTTATTTCTTTCTATTTTTCTCTGTGCTCTTCATTGCTGTCACTGTATCGCGGACATGGGGTACTAACCCCGAGTCATCATATAGAGTGGTGGTGGGGAGAGGGTCTAGGAAACACATACCACAATCAGTGAACATTGTAATTTGCAAGTAGTTTATAAATCCTAGCTCCCCATCCCCTACCTTATTAAACTTTCAAAACTACAAGAGACAGGAAAGCTTCCCACTGACAGTTCTGTTTCAAAATAGAACAAATCCAGAGCCCAGATTAGGAAAGAATAGACAGCTGAGCAAACATCAAAAGAGGAAGCCTCTTCCACTGACAATGAATAACAAAACTTAAAAGAAAAGCAAGAGATCGGTCAAAAATGAGGAAAAACCAAAGGAAGACCACAAGCAATTTCAAGTGAAACAAAGAGAAAACAACTGAAAAATCAGACCTCAGAGCCCAAACAATGGAAGTCACCAACCACTGGCCCAAGAATGTGACAGGGATTAGGGAATGGATGGAAAGAGGGAATAAGACTCAAGGAAGACAAGATGCTACACTGAGAGAACTTGTAACAGAGATTTTGGCAATAAAAAATTTTATCCAGGAAATAAATAACAAGATAACAAGTATGGAAAGCAGAATTAATCAAGCAGAAGAAAGCATCTCAGAACTTGAAGACCACAACATGGAATTAACCCAATCTGTAAAAAAACATGGAAAGAAGACTCAGAAAGAAAGAACAAAGCCTACAATTAAATCAAGAAGTCAAACATACACCTGACTGGTATGACAGAAGAAGAAAGGGAAATGGAGAACACCTTGGAGCAAGTATTCAGGAGGTAATCAAGAAAATATTCCACATCTCACCAGAGATGTGACCAGCGAAACACAAGAGATACAGAGAACCCCTCCAAGACATCAAATGAGAAGACCAACCCCTAGACACATAGTAGTTTGCCTACACAAAGTAGGCACAAAAGAAAAAATCCTAAAGGCAGCAAGAGAAAAAGGTCAGACTATCTACTGGGGAAAACCAATCAGAATAGCAGCAGACCTATCAGCAGAAACACTACAAGCAATAAGGGACTGGAGTCTAATATTCAAAGTTCTCAAAGATAAACAATTTCAACCAAGAATTTCCTACCTAGCCAAGCTCAGTTTCAACAATGATGTAACATTAAAATCCTTCCAGATATCCAATCCCTAAGAGATTATGCATCTTCCAGACCAGCTCTACAGGAGACACTTAAAAAGGTATTAAGCACAGAAGAAAGAAGAAGAATGACCACACACTTCCCAAGAGAACAGCAGAACACAAAATCAATAGAGAATATAGAGGAACAAGAAACTTGAAAACACAAACATACAACCCCAAAGCCAAAAGAAAATAAGCAAACAAACAAAAAAACTTTATAAGAATCTCATGACAGGGATAAACAATTACATTTTAATAATCAGCTTGAATGTGAATGGACTAAATACACCACTAAAAAGACATAGAATGCCAAACTGGGTAAGAAATCATGACCCAATTATTTGCTGCATCCAGGAAACTCATCTCACCACAAGGGATTACCCAGACTCACAGTTAAAAGATGGAAAAGGATTTCCAGGCAAATAGATCACCAAAGAAGGCAGGAGCCATGATCTTAGTAGAATCAGGCAAAATAAGCGTTAAGCTATCAAAAATTTTACAAGATTCAAAATAACAATACATAATTATAAAAGGCTCAATCCATCAACAAGAAATATCCATCCTAAACACATATGTACCCAACACAGGTGCACCAGTGTTTATAAAGCAACTCCTAAGTAAACTAAAAAAACATATTGACTCTAACACTATTATAGCAGGGGACTTGCATACTCCATGAACAGCCCTAGATAGAATCATCGAGACAAAAAAATTAATAAGGACGGAGCGGCGCACACCGGTTGGCCAAGCCAAGCTGGCGCCCCTGCTCCCCCAGCCCTGCACTTCAGCCCGCCGCCCACCGGGCGCCTTGCCCGTGCTGCTTGCCTCCGGTGCCGAGCCCTCCAGCTGCTCTCCTCCCGCCTTCGTGACCCTCAGTCCCGCCCTGTCCAGCCCGGGCTGCCCGGCTCCCGCAGGCCCCCCACCCCTCCCGCCGCCTGCGTTCCTATGGACAGACGCACAGACACCTGCAGTTTTGGGGGCATGCAGATAATTCTGTATACAACCATATGTAGAAAATGGAGACTTGGGGAAAGCGGCAAGATGGTGACAGGGCAACCCGGTCTATGAAGCCC